CTACCGCATGTGGAAAAACACTAAAAGGTGAATCAAGCACTTGGATCCCTGCCACCAGGTTGGAGACCCAGTTGGAAGTTCCCGAATCCTGGTTTCAGCCTGGTGGAGCCCTGGCTACCATGGCTACTTGGGGGTATGAAGCACCAGACAGAAGAGCTCTCATTCTTTACTCTTCTTTCTCTCACTGTAATTTTGCCTTTCAAGTAAACAAACAGGTCTTAGAAAAAAGTGTAATTCTGACTTGGCTTTGACATAACCACTAGTATTTTAGTCAAATACAGCTCAGCCTCAGGAACGTAGACATTTTAGCCCTTAAGAAACTCCACAGTTCTCTTCATTTCAAGGATAAATGACTCTTGTTAACATAACAAATTTTGTTGATTTGGTCATAGTTCTTGATAATTCTGCAGGCTCTGCCCTCAGAATAAGTGCTAAAGATTCTGCTGCTGTCCACCCATCTACACCTTTGCCATATTTACAGAGCTTTTGTGAGGACGGATAAAAACCAAGAGCTCATGTAAAAATATTTGCCTATAAAAAAGTTGCTGTGTGGATATTATGGATATATAAGTAGTGCTATTGATGGCAACATATAAGAATAATCTGTGCTTGGGCCCGGCACGGTGGCGCAAGTGGTTAAAGGTCCTCACCTTGCACGCCCGGGATCCCATATGGGTGCCGGTTCTAATCCCGGAAGCCCCGCTTCCCTTCCAGCTCCCTGCCTGTGGCCCGGGAAAGCAGTCGAGGATGGCCCAAAGCTTTGGGACCCTGCACCCGTGTGGGAGACCCAGAAGAGTCTCCTGGCTTTGGATCGGCATAGCATCGGCCGTTGCGCTCACTTGGGGAGTGAAACATCGGATGGAAGATCTTCCTCTCTGTCTCTCCTCTCTGTATATCCGCCTTTCCAATAAAAAAATAATAAAAAAATAAATCTTTTAAAAAAGAATAATCTGTGATTATTAGTTTGCTCCCTATAATAAATACCCAAATAACCTACAAGAGGAAACAACAGATTTTTGTATTTTTATCATCTTAACATAGTTTAAAGCAAGCAAGGTACAATGATGAAGATGTCTTCCAAAATGATTCTCTTACATTGTTAATGGACCCACAATATAGCCTTGGAGAGTGTACAATCCAGGGCTTATCATGAAAGAGTCAGTTCCTGGGAGATGCAGTAATTCCAGGAGTACCTAACTTTTCAAGCCGATCATTTAGTGTATCTGCTACTTGGGGGGGTGGGGGTGGGGGGAAAGGCTTTCTAGCCATGGTTAGGCATCCATTCATTCAAAAATCTTTGTTCTATATTATACACACCAAGCGCTGTTGTTTGAAAGATGAGAAAACATGGAATTGGAAAGGAGTCTTTGTCAAAAAAACAGTGAAAATTGACATCAGCTCCCATAACACTTGACATATGACAGGTTACTAGGAAAAAGAGACTAAGTACTTTCACATTCAGAACATTGTTGTTACCTGTGGATAACTTTAAAGTCTCCACTCATTTAACTAACATCAGAAACTAGGAAAGAAGAAGGAGAACAGAGAAAATATCAGAAATAACAGAAATTAATGAAACAAAACACTAAAAAAATGATAGATAAAACTAGAAAGTCAAAATTTTTTGAGTTCCAAAAACTTCATATATTCTTGTCTAGACTTATCAGGAAGAGAATAAACACCAATTACCAATATTAAGAATGAGAAATACAGCTTTACCATTAATTCTATAGATACCAAAAAGCCTGGCACGGTGACTGAGTGGCTAAATCCTCACCATATGGGCACCAGTTCCTGTCCTGGCTGTTCCACTTCCCATTCAGCTCCTGGCTTGTGGCCTGGGAAAGCAGCAGAGGATAGCCCAAAGCCTTGGGATCCTGGACCTGCTTGGGAGACCCAGAAGAAGCTTCTGGCTCTTGGCTTCGGATCATCTTTGTGGCCACTTTAAGAATGAACCAGATCTTTCTCTACCGCTCCTTTCTGTAAATATGCCTTTTCAATAAAAATAAATAAATTTTTTAAAAAAAATAAATACCATGGACAACTTTGCACATGTATATTCAACAGCTTGTATGAAGCAGATAAGTTCCTTTAATGTGCATGACCAGAACTCTGTCAAACTGGTGGATGCTTTCCCAGCAGTTAGGACACCGGTTGGGATACTCATGCCCATGATGGAGCCCTGAGTTTGAACCCTGTCTTTATTTTAATTCTAGCTTACTGCTCACAGACACTCTGCCTGGCATGTTGGGTCTCTGACACCCATGTGGAATTTCTGAATTGAGTTCTTGCTCTTGGCTTTTGCCTGGCTCACCATAGCTATTGTATACATTTAGGAACTAGATCAACAAATGGAAACTTGCTCTCTCTCTGTACATGTGTGCCTCTCATGCAAAAATGTGTATGGATATTTTTTAAATTTCTGTCAAGAAGAAATGGATAATCTGTATGATACTATATAAATGTGTATATATGCATTTTAACACACATTAAAATTTATTTAAGAAACTGGATAAAGGAGTTGGCATAGACCATAATTGAATCTTATAATTATTAGGCTAACTGAAAGAAGCAGAGAGACTTACACAAATATTCATGGAAAACTAAATTTTAAAAGTTTGTGTGGGTACAAAAAATTCTGAAATCCACACAGATATGACATCATTAAAAGGTCTGTAGAATATATGTGCTTTGAAAAATCTGCACGGATTTCTATATTTTTTTTGCACCAAGATAAACATTTTAACTCCATTTTCCAAGAACTCTTTGAAGCACTGTTGTACTGTGAAACTCAATTTATATAATTCTAAAAAATGTGAACTAATACCCGCAGGCACCAAGGCCAGTGGTTGCTTTTAACTGTGGGAATAGTGAAGCATGGGATAATGGATTCACAACAGGGCATGAGGTGAACTTCAGGCACGATGCGTCTGTCTACCTGACTGGCAATGGTCACGTAAGTGTCTAAATACACCAACCATGTCACACGATCACTTTAAAATGTGTGTTTGCATTTTCTCAATCGGACTCAGCATAGCTATGGTGAAATTTTGATCAAATATTTTTAACCACAATTTAAAACACTGTAGTAAGAAAAAGGTTATTTTATAGAAAGTAAATATTTTAATAAAATGATTGCATTGTGAATGTTTATTTTCATGCCTGTAAAATATCAATGTAGTGCTCAAATATAAATTCAATGTAATTATATATTTGCTCTCCATTGTGACATCCTCAAAGTTATTTTATAAACAAATAATGTCATCTTAAAAAAACACACAATTATGTTAAAAACTGCCTGCTCTCTTAGTTGACAGTTTGCCAGCCATGGATTAACAAATTTGAAATACAGGACAAACAAACTAATCCTAAGAGATTTTCGCAGAGCAGCAACTATGAAATCTTTCCTATGAAACTATCCATGAAATATTTTCTGTAGACTATATGCCTCATTCCTGTTTGGACAATAAAACAGGCCTTGAAAAATTAAGAAGATTAAAACTGTAAAAAGGATGCTTTCAAATCACACTAAAATTATACTAAAAATAATATAAATATATAGAAATTGAAGAACATCATCCTAAAATATCTACATTGGAAATGAATGGTCTGAGAACAATAACCTACTTTTTCAACGCTAAGAAGCTAGTTAACATAAAACTATGTATATGTGTGTAACTGTTACTAAGTACCAACCCTTACCTCCAAAAAGGAAGAAATATTCAAATTGCTGAAATCCAAAGGAGAACAGAGGACATCACTACCATGACTACCATGAACAATTGCATCCAAATGAGTTAGATAACCTAGAAGACATCACAGAGTATTCAGAGGTGAAGGGACGTTAGCTTGGCAACTGACTCTTAACGGATTCAGAATAAAAGGGTTTTTTGCAACCTCTTTAAATATAAAATTATTTAAGAAACAAAAAGAGTTACACTATGTCAGGTCACTATTCACCGTAAAGCTTATTATTATAAGAATAAAAGAATATAAAAATGAATAATAGTGGTTTAATCTCTGATTAACATCAAAAGTCATTAAGGTACATGTCTTTTGAACACACATGCATACATGAACATACAAATAAGAAAGTGAATTTTTTAATTTCAATATGGCATAATCTGAGAATCATCTACATTAAAATCACTATTGAAATAGTGAAGAATATGAATTGGAATTCATTGGAATTGAGGATGTCATGGAAATGGAATGCAGAGGAATTGCAACAATCAGGAAGGAAGATTTTAGATTACATAAGATGATGGCAGGGCTTAGGAAGAGAAGTTGGAGAAATGTAAAATAATTGCTAGTGGAGAAGTAGTAAAGACAGAGAATACCAACCCTAAAGTCAAATAGACTCAAAACATTGAGCTTGACTGTCTTGCTTTGCAATGCAGTCAATATCTCAGGGAAGATGTCATCGCTAGAAATCAAAGAAAATGACGTCTAGCTTTGGTTTTTAATTGCTGTCTACCAAGAAATCAAAGATGAAAACAAACAGTTTTCTATAGTTGTTTCCTGGCCTGCATACAAGGAGAAACAATAGCAAGCAATGGCCAAGTAACTGGGCTAACGCGTAATTTTCAAATTGGCCATTTGGAACCCAAGATATAAAATGTTACCTACAACAGGCTACATGATATGTTAACAATGCATGCCCTATTGTATTATAACAATAATTCAAGGGGACTCTACCTTAAGATGAAATGTGTATACTGGTCTAGATCAGCTATAAATTAAACCAATCTCCCAAAGCACAAGGAAAAGGAACAACTATTTTATTTAGTTACCTTCCCCATTGATAAGGCATGTAATGAGGAGGAAAGATGTGACACCAAGATTGAGTTGATGCCATCTGAAAAGCTGGGAGACATTTACTTACCTTCATCATAATTATGATATTTAACAGTGCCTTGAACATTACATCTAAATAACTGTGATTTCTTTCGACTTTATTCAGAAATATGGTACGCGAAGAAAAGTATTCCTTCAGTTTTTGAGTACCAAACACATACATTTTGAACATGGATTTATAGATTGAGTTGCTTTACTTAGTAGATCATTTTATTAGTCACTTTCTAATTTTAAGCCTGACCTGCGCTGTATGCCATGTACTCTCAGGTCCATCAAATTGAGTCAGTGAAGATAAGTTCTTGATTTCACACTTTTGTTATGAAGTTTGCTTCTCTCTCTCCATAGTCCACCCATTTAAACTCTCAGCATACTAATAAAATTGGAATATTTTTAGGAGGCTTTATTTAACTAAATGTAATTTTTAATAACGGTTTAATCATTTCTTCAGAGAAATGTTTCGTTTATGTTGTATTCTATCACCCCCGGCCATAGAACAATGCTAGATTTTTATATTCATAACTTATGTCTTATATTATTATTCATATGGAAAGCTGTTTACTATGCTTTTTGTTTATGTAGACTTTTGTTAAATTGCAATCATTCCAAAATGAGCATATATTTTCAATGAACACATTCTTGCTATAAGGAAACAAAAAGTTTACTGTTCAGGCTTTTCCACAGATTAAAACATGCACAAGGACCTGGGAAGTTTGGAGGAAAACTCAGCTTGCTTATGCTTTAAGGTACCTGTAAGATTTCAAATCAGTACTTTGCACTAACACTTTAATCAAGAATGAATTCCACCGTGATTGGGAGAATGGATCAACATCCTGATGTTTAGAAGAGGGCTATTTGGTTGAGGAGGTCACTACACGGGCGAGCACAAACACTGGAAGCGGAAATCGCAAATCATTTGTTTCCTTGGGCAAGGACACACAGTAAACACTTGAATTGGTGGTCAGCTATAATTTGCTTCTAGAGCCAGCAATTCTGGCAACCCTACACTTTGGATTTATAGCAGTGCACACAGGCAGTAGTGACTTTGAACGCACGGGATGAGTGATCACAGGGCAAAGTTACTAGTTCTTAAAAATCAGTTCCTCATTACAAGGACTTCAGGACACTCCCTTCAACCTGAAAAGAAGTATACACCCTTGTTGCTAATTCCTCCGTGTTCTGCAGCTGCTCTTCCTGGGCAATCACGCTAGGAGGAAGCCAATCATATTCAAGTCTAGGTTAACAATACTTTATTTATTTACATATATTTTTTGTTTTGGCTTGGGATTTTCAAACCAATATACTTCCAACTTGGACAATATAAACTGAGAAGTCCTTCTTATCTTGGTAAAAATAGACATTTAAAAATTTTGCATTGTTTTCTATTTGCTTCCAGTGTCTTAATAACCTCTTCAAATTTCCCAGAATAAGCAAGAGAAAATATCTCATCCCAGCATACCTTCGCACCTCCCACTCTGCCCAGTACCACCCTAAGGCACTTCCACCTCTTCCACCTTGATGGAACAATGTGCAGTTCCGTTTTTGCTCCCCAGGACAGCCTAGGGAATTCAGAGGAAGGGGGATTTTTGTAGGAATCGTCACTCACAAATTCCCCCCCGGCTTCCTTTTCATTGAAAGTGAACAGTTGTGTTGTCCAGGAGTGCCCATGTCTTGTTTCCCTATATATCACTACCAGGGCCAAGAGAGGACTCCGCCAGCGAGGCACCTCCTGCCCTGTCCCGCAGACCGCTGTCCCCGGCCTTCACCCCGTTGTCCGTGCAAGGTGCAGAACTGGAAGGTGAATGAGCTTCAGTACTACTCTCCACACCCTGTAGGGACAAAGGCCCCTTCACGGGCCTGGAGGAAGGGCTCTTGTGAAAGCAGAGTTTGAAAAGTCCCAGCACCGTCATGGTCAGGATCACCAGCACTACCACTGCTATGCTCACGAGAATGAAGACCACGGTGGAGGAGTCCCAAGCAGTCGGAATGGCAGAGGAAGACGTAGAATTAATGGGGATAATACGGACAATACTTCCGGCTGGGGTGGTGGTGTTCCCTGCTTTGGTTTGAGGGGACGTTTGAAAGGTGGGCATGGTGCTCATTGCTTCCCCCTGAAGAATCCCAGGAGTAGCCGTTGCTAAACCGCTTAGTTCAGGCACACGGGGCGGGCGCCTGGTGGACACGTTAGTCCCCCTATGTTCTGTCTGAACTTCGCCGTTGGTCACGCAGGAGAGTCTGTCCGTCCCCAGATGGAAGCCGGGAGCACATTCGCAGGCAAAGCCTCCGGAGTCATCAAGGCAGTCAGAGAGCTCCATGCATTTGCCTGCACGGAGATAAGGCCCAGGACAAGGACAGAGCATGGCCTCCAGGGGTAGCCCGTCCCAGTGTGTGCCCGTTTCATCCACAAGGCAAGTGGCTGAGACCAAGAGCTGCCCAGGGCAGAGCGCACTCACCTTGGTCCCGGGAGGACTGAAGTCCAGCGCAGCGCTGTGCATCTGAAAGGGTGCACGGTAACTCAAGTTAGATGCGGCCCCGAGGCGTGGCGCGGGACACAAGGCCTCAAATTGGTACTTGCACAGGTAGCCATTGGCACGTTGGCTGCAACGCATCTCCTTCCAGCCCGCGGGCTCAACTCCCCCGGTGGTCTGGAGTCCCGCGCACTTGCGCGCCGTGCAGGAGCTCTGGGGCTCCTCTACCCAGGGCAGCGTGTCGTTTTCGGCCCCACTGGCGTCGGGGGACATCCAGGAGAAGCCCCGTAATGGCTCGTTCTCCATGGTGCAGTGGGAACGCTCTCGCTGCAGCGCCACCCAGAACACCAGATCCTTGGAGCCCCCTCCGGGTCCCGGGCCTGCCCGTAGCAGAGCCAGCACTGTGCGCAGCTCGGCGCCCCCTTGCACGGTGCTGAGCGCCCCACCGCGCAGGCTGCAGGCCTCCTCGGCCGCCTCCCGCTTGATGGTCGAGTGGTGCAGGCTGTAGCAGGCCCCCGAAGCCAAGCACCCTGCTCGATCGGCGGTGGGGTGCTCGCCCGCGCCTGTCCCAAACCAAAGAACCTGCCCCAGGAAGCACAGGGCGAACGCTAGTCTCATGTTCGAGGCTCGGTGCCCGCAGCTGCTCCTAACTTGGGTCTGTCCCGCCCGAGGGCGCAGCACTGCCTCCGAGCGCGGTCACCGCCCTCCCTCCACAGCTGTCAGCCTCCACCCAGTCTCCTCTCCCCTCCCTCCGCCGGGCCCCCTATCCGCCGACAATCCCTAACAAGAGTCGCAGCGGTCAACAGTCTCCCTTAGGCCGCGACAGGAAATGTATCGGGAGCTCTGCCAGGCCCGGTGCAGCCCTGATTTATTCTGGGGTCAGGGACACAGCTGGCGCCAGGGCACAAGAAACACGGTGGACCAGAAGGTCAAGCACCCCCCACCCCACTCCCCCGCTTAGAACAGGAGAAACAGAAAGTGACCACTGGGGTGGAGTGGCTTGCTTTTCCCGCCCAAGGAGCGGCAGCACCTCAGATTCCAAACACAAGTGCTGGACCCTGGCAGGAAGGATCAGGCGCCCACGCCCGCCCATTGTGTTTCTGTCCGGAGTCCTGGAATTGGCGTCAGCATCATTCGCAGACGGCTCCAGGCTTCGGGGAGAGTTCTGGTTTGTGTGGTTGTGTGTGGGCGTGGGCATGGGCTAAAAGGGGTGGGGTGGAGAGGAAATAAACAATCTCGTGAGAAATCTTAATTTCTGGTTCTTCACCGGAGGCAGAGCTGTTAAACAGCACAGCTCTTTCCTGAGGGATCTGCTGGGGAAGCCGGGCCTTCTGACTGCTAGTCGAAGAATTTCAAATTTAAAATTCTGAACTCTTCCTTAGCAAGGATTCGCCTTAAAAGTTTGTTGGGCACTTTCCTTTGCTTCTCTTTGAAGTGCCTGGTATTAGTTCATTGAGCAAAAGAAATGCAATTTTTTTTTTTGGCATAACTGAAAAATGACAACTGCAGACTGTCCTTAATACCATGATTTCAAATACACAGATTACAAAGAAATGAGTTTATGGCTCTACTTCATGTGCGTAGCAATCAGCCTATGTATCATTTCAACCGTGAACTGTTCCAGTGTCGTTTGCTTCTAGGATGAGTGGCAATATTTATGGAATAGGCTACAAAGGTTTCCTTTCAGGAGTCTTAGGGGTCAGCATCCCTAAGATGAACATGTGTAATACAACACCTCGTGAATACAACAATTCATGTAGTATTTCTTTAAGAAAACCTCTGTTTGGAAAGGGTGAGCCAGTTTTTGCCGAGTTCTGTGGGCTTTGAGTTTTATTATAAACTCAAAGTATATAAAAGAAGTCATAAAAGGAGAAAAAAGGAAGGAAAGATAATTCACCCTGAGAATTTGTTGTTACCAGCTTAGATGATTTTACATCACTTTAGGGCATAGATCTTGTGTGACTTACAGTGACCAAATCCGCTGTAATCAGAGATATGTAAAGAATTCAACTAAGTCCTCTTAAAAATATTTGATGCTGTTAAATATCTGTTATCAGAATGAGAGCTGCCCTGGCATGAATAATGCATGGCCCACTCAGACACACCGTGCCAGACTGCACTGGACTGTTGAGATTAATGAGGGGTGGGAAGCAGGCTTCAGGATCACACCTACACGCGCCGATCTCATCTTGACCATTACTCTTCCTCCTGGAAATTTCATGTATCTTAACAACAGTGGTAAACACCATGAATCATCATCACATTTTCCTTGCTTTTGCTGACTGTGGAGTTTTGTGGCAGAATTTCTATCCTACCCTTTCTGTCCCCCAAGTTAAAAGGGTATTCATTAGCCCTTTATTTGAAATGTCAGACACATTTAAACAAGACTGGGTATTCAAACTAAGGAACCTAGTGTGCTATGAGTCAAGAAAATGAAAATCCAGAAACAGATTTGAATGAATCTTTAAAGTGCTTCATCACTTGGGCCAACTCTATGCGTTTTTTGCAGGTTTATGACTCAGCGTTGGTAAATGTGTCCATACAGCAACAACTATTAAAAAAAAAAAACTTTTCCAAACTCAAGTAGTCAATAGGGATCTCTTAGATATTTGAAAATTCACTTTGTATGAAATTCAGTTTCTATGCTAAAGCGCAATAAATAAGTGGAAGCTATAGTAAATATGTGATCTCATTCTTTGGTATTTTGCTTATGAAGGTCAGTGTGTGAGGAGTTCAGTAGAGAAGGCAAATTGACCATGACAGCTCTGTACCACAATTCTGGCTGTGCCGGGAATCATATGAGAGAATTAGCTCAAACTAACTAATGCATCACTTTGTAATTAATCACTGTCTTGATGTATAGTCATTAATATATTTTTAAATGTGCAGTACATCTGAAAAATTATAAATGGAGAAAAACCTTTCCTTTCAAAGTATATGTTATTAATATCATAACATTATAAACACCATGTTAGCTCCATTGCAGTCCAAAGGCATAAAACTCTGAGAAGCAGTGTGGAACTCCAGGGTATTCTATAGGAGAGAGGTGCACGGTACCATCTTGGCAAAGCTTGACATTTTCTCTGAGAGAACATCTATACTCTGTCTATTGCTGGGGTCCGCGCAGTGGGTGTGGATGACACGAGGGTGTGATGAGAACAGCTCCCCTGTGCGGCAAGGCCCGGGGGAGTTTCCAGCTGTGTGGCAAGGCCCGGCGGAAGTCTCTCCGACCACCTTGATACTGTTTTACCCCCTGGCTGCATGGACACTCAAGCACCCCACTAAGAATTTTGCAATCTATTGAGGCAGTGTTTGCCCCTGTGGGATGGCTTTTATCACCAACGTGAGCTTGAGAGTTAGTGTCACTGATAATATCTTGGTGAGTGGGCCTTTGACAATTTACACACAGGAGCACAATTAAACCCATGCCATTTCTGGACACCTTATTGTGTACCTACCCATTGCCCTGAAATCGGGCCCAGACATATAGCACACCTTCTGGGAAGGGGCTTGAAAATATCCTAAATATTAATACAAGTGATGGGAGTGAGAGCTGAAACTGCTATGGCAATAAATATAGTTATTGTTATCTCAAAGGCTAGCCTGTCTTTGCAATTTTTTTGGAATATAGAAAATGTAACTGTTTTAGCCGCTTTTATAATTTTTAGCTAGAGGATTAAGGATGCTTTTATTAAAGAAAAATGCTTTTGATTATTGTCTTATTGTTTATGGGGTTGTAGGGGTCTATAGTTGTAGGGAGATTTAACATTTGAAGTTTCTATTTTAGATTTTAGGTTTTTTCCCTTATAACCTATTTTCCCATTAAATGATGGGTAAATTGTAGAAGTAAAAATGTGGTGGGAAAGTACTACTGATTAGCAGATAATCGCATGTGCCTTGGCCTTGGAGTCCTGGCTGTTGCTCCATGGCTACTGTTGAAGGATAAACAATAGCTTGCTTTGAAGAATATGAATACAGTATTTTGCAAAATTATCTTTAGGAGCACCTGCTTAGCCTTGAAGTACAGACAGAGTGACCAAATGTCTGTACATGCCCCCTTAATTTTGAAAAGAAAAAAAAATAGAATAGTTGCTTGTGTAGAAGCTTGAGAAGGGTTTTGAGTAAATAAAAAGGACAGTTTTTTCCTGAACGGTTGGGAGAATGCACCAAATGTCTGTGTCTGTGTCTTTCTTTATCGCCGACTCCACGCACCCTTCCCGAGCTCCGAACTCGGCTGGAGCTGGACTCCGGCAAGTGGCGCCCAACGTGAGGGCTCGACGAAGGTAAGTCTTTTATCTTTTTTTTGCGGCGTGGATAGGACTTCACCCAGGGTGCTGCAGGCCCCCTGACAAAAGGTCAGGTTAGGAGGGGTGAATAGTCAGAACATTTCTTGAGAAGCTTTGTACCCTCTGTTGCTATAGAGTAAAAATGGGACAGAGTGCATCCAGCGACAGAAGCTTGTACGCTGATATTATTAAGCATATTTTACAAGAGAAAGGCATTAAAGTTAGTAAAAAAGAGCTTTCAGAATTTTTGCAGTTTATACGGACAATTAGTCCTTGGTTCCCAGAGGAAGGAACTTTAGATTTACAGACATGGGATCAGGTAGGGAATGATATAAAGAGGTGGTATCACAGCCACGGGGGGGCTGACATGCCTTCCTCAGCCTATGCTATTTGGACAGTATTGAGACAAACACTGGATACGGGGACAGATGCTTATGCTCCATCTTCCCTGACTGCTCCACCTCGGGAACACACTCCCTTGATTAATCGTAAAAAGGGAGGCTCAGGCTCTACTTATGGCTCTATAAATAGTTTCTGTCCTGAAGATAAGGTAAACTATTCTAAAAATGAGCAGGAAGGCTTAACAGGTGAAGAAGATCTTTCAAAACCAGAAAGACTTAGATCAGAAGTTAAGGATTGTGAAGAAGAGCGGACAGTTGAGTTATGTGATAGATGGTCGCTTGCTGTTGATGATAAGCCTCCAAGATATTCGGCTAAGCTTTGTGAGCCCTTTCCAGCTAGACCAGATCCAGCAAAGATTGGCTTTAGAGGAGCAATGCAGCAGGCACATAAGGAAGGTGATTTTTTCTGTTTTCCTGTTGTTTATGAATGGAATGAACCTGAATGGGAACCGTTGTCTTATAAGCTTATTAAAGAACTAAAGCATGCCGTCTCTGACTACGGGCCAAACTCCCCGTACACTATGACATTGGTGGAGGGACTAGCAGCTAAGTGGATGACTCCATATGATTGGTTTCAGGTTGCTAAGGCTTGCCTCACAGGAGGAAACTTCCTTCTGTGGAAGATGGAATATGAGGAACTAGCTAAAGCAGAGGTAAAGTCTCATGGATCTGTGAGATGTGGCAAGTCTCTTACCTTAGACATGCTTTTAGGACAGGGCACTCATCTTGGCGTTTCAGAACAACTTACTCTGCCTAAGGAGACATTACAGCTTATCTCCTCCCTGGCACTAGGAGCATGGAAACGCCTGCCATCTGCAGATCAGAAGTCCTCGGGTTTTGTAAATGTTAAGCAGAAGCCTGAGGAGCCTTTTGAAGATTTTGTAGCTCGACTCACAGAAGCAGTGAGTCGGACAGTAATTAACAATACAGCTACAGATCTCATAGTTAAACAGCTAGCTTTTGAGAATGCTACTCCAACTTGCCAGACCTTAATTCAGCCAGTGAGAAGGACAGGAGATTTGTCAGACTATGTTAGAGCTTGTACTGAAGTCACTCCATCTTATATGCAAGGGTTAACTATTGCTGCAGTTCTTCAAGGTCAAACTGCTACTCAGATTTTAAAGAACATTAGAGGCAATCAAAAAAATAAAAAAGGAAAGAATTGCTATTCTTGTGGTGGAGTAGGGCATTTCAGCCACAACTGTCCTGCCAGAAACTCATCCCAAAATTTCAAACAGGAAAAAACTTATGTGGACACTCCTAAACCCAATTTAAATATTCCTCACACTGTCTGTCCACGGTGTGAGAAGGGATTTCATTGGCAAAAAGCTTGTAAGTCTAAATTCCACAAGAATGGAACACTTCTATTGCCTCTAAGTCGTCCTAAATTGAGTAATCAGCCTGTACAGGGTCAGATTCAGGGAAATGGGAGGCAGCCACAGTCCCAGGTCCACAAAACTATGAAGACATGTATGAATATCGGTGCTAAAGTGTACAAAACTAAATTGATGGCTGCTACTTTAAGCACAGAGTTAAAGCAAAATAGACGTAAATGTTATAATTG